TCTTGTTTATGTCCTTTCGCGTCTTGAGACTTTTTAATTATTGGATGAGAATAACCCTTCGCCCCTAGGCTTTTCTTTATCTTCACAAGTTGAAGTACGAGCCGTGATGTCTTGTTGAAACAGGTTATGATCATCACTCGCCTTTAAAATAATTGTTTTGATGGAAGTTTTCTTATGTTTAGAGATGCCATCTCTTCAATCCTTCAAATATTCTAGCGATTTCTTGAAGATCCCAATCTTGTTATCGATGTATTTGGGAAGAATATTCTGCCTTCATGCCAACATTTCGTAGCTTCTAAATTCCATCGAACCAAATTGGCCCTTTTTCCAATGGCAAACTCGTTTTTCTCGAAATCCACCACCACCATTTCTTGACAAACAATAAAATGATAATGTATGAATGTTAATAAGTTCAACTCTCTTAAAGATTAATCATAAAAATTAATAGGTTCTTTGGTGTTAAATGAAATAAAAACGGTGGTTAATTTGAAACTACAAAATAAGTTAAATAATTCTACTTTTATGAATGTAAGTGCACAGATTAAAAAAAAAGAGAAGATATAATTACACATTAATAGTGGAAGACAAATAACTATATAAATTCTAAACATTTAATTATTTACTCATGTCATTAACTAATATACTAAAGTAAAACGATGAAATGAACAAGTTGACTACTATTTGAAACATTATCCATACACTCATATTTCACTCGTTCATGGCTTTTTTTACACTTTGATCCTTGATATTTTCAAACACATATTTCGATCCAAATGTTCATTTGCTTATCCATTTTGGTCCCTAGGTAGAGAGAGAAGGTTGAGAGGAAAAGAGAGACTGGAGGAGAGAAAGATCGCCGACCAAGCTTATTTAGGCTACTCCGGCCGTAAAAATCCACTAGACTTTTTATCTTTGAGAGATGAATTTATCCATGGTGGTTTAAAGCCATTAAACAATTAGAGAAGGTAGATCGGAGCCTAAAAAGGAAAAAAAAACCGATTTTGATTTTGTATTTTTCTTTGTTTTTGTGTGTATCAAAATGATTTTTAAGATTTTACATGTGTTTATTAGCTTTATTTCAGTCATTTAGAGGTGTTTGAGGGGAAAAATGATGCCGAAATTCAATTTCTAAGGGTCCGAAAGTTGACTTTCGATTTTCTAACGAACTTCCGACAATCTCGGATTCGTCAAAAGTTGCGGTGTTTTTTTCTTTCAATTGGGTGGCAAGCAAGGCTTAACGAGTGGGCCATTACCGGCTCGCCTACACGTGGCAACCATGGGTGGCCTCCCTCCCTTTTTTTTCCCTCCATATGTGCAACCTAGTTGCACAAGCTAACTAGGTGTCCGTCCCGGTTAGCTTGCAACCAAGCGCTTCTCTGTCTCTCTCTCGTCTCTCTCTCTCTCTCTCTCTCTCTCTCTCTCTCTCTCTCTCTATATATATATATATATATATATAAGAAGAAGAAAAAAAATAAAGAAAAAAGGTCTACCAAAAAAAAAAATATCAAAAATAAATCGTTATTTTTTTAGTTTTTCGTAAAGTTTAAAAATGATATATATATATATATATGTTACTTTTATTGTTTAAGTTTAATTTTTTAAGTATTTATTTCTTATTAAAATTCACATCAAAATAATTTTTTGATATAATTTTATTTGTTAATAATTTTATTTTTTTAATATATGAATTTTGAAATAAAATTTTAGAACGTCCGTGTTTTATTTTTTAAATATATTATTATAATTTATACAATTTTTTTTTTTACTTTTTAAATGAATTTTTTTGATTATTTTTATTATTTAAAATTTAGTACTTTAATTTGTCATTTTGTTAAAATTCTCATCCATTTAATTTCAAATTGCATTAAAAAATTTTAAAATTTTTTTTCACCTTTAATTTCATATATTTTTATACATTCACACTATAAAACAAATTATCAAACTAAAATTATTTTTCTAAATGATTTTATATATCTTATCTTACCCACAAGATAGCACGGAGAAAAAAATCTAGTATTGTCTAAATGAAGATACTAGTAATCGTAAATACTTCGGATTTGGTTAGATTAAGTCCTTTGTCAATAATTTAGTCAAATTGTACATTGTACTTTCATTTTTTGGTCATTTGACACCATCTCGCTTATTTTTTTCCACAATTAAACTTAGTAAGTCCAATGGCATATTGATACATGTCAATCCGAATCCACACTTAAACAAACTTGAAAAGTAAATTTTTTAAAAAATCAATCCAAAATTGAACAAGACTTGTACATATTAAAAGAAAAATCGATCTAAGGTGATGTTTGATAAAACCGAAAATTAAGTGTTGAATCCGTTAAGTACTCGAATTTTAAGTGCTCGAATAATTAAGTACCGAATATATTACTAACAAACTCGTTTGATATTTACTCGAAAATTAAGTGCTGAATATAATAAAATTGTTTGATAAGTACTCGTTATTGAACATATTAAGGTTATATACATGACAATTTTAACCTTACAATTATAACATGATTTTTTTAACATAAAATCAAATTAAAAACAACTAACACGATTCTTTGAAAACTAATTATTTTTTACGGACATGTTAATCAAAAATGAAAAAGAAAAATGATTTCAATTGGAAATTAATTTATATGTCAATTTAAATTATGTAATGACATATATAGAGCTAACAAAGGATCTCAATTTGCTTCATTGATTCATTTGGATTTTTTTTAATCAATTATCAATGCACATTCCTAGTCATCATTATAGGATAGGGGTTTATGGTTCAAGCTTCTCTAGCCCCTTCTCATCAAGCTAACGGACTTTTTATGTAAACACATGAACTTTATCACAAGCATCGGTACCCATAAGATTATCTATCGATCTGTTCTTGGATCATTAGATCACGTGAAACCCGTAATAGATATCGGACCTTCTCCCCAATGATCATAGGATCATGGATTACAAGGGCGGACGTAAAATTTACCGGGTTCATCATATTCTTTGTTCTATTTGTTTTATATTTCAACATCAATGACTCGCTATCAAAGTTCTAAATGCGAATACCAAGTATGGGTCCTTCAAAAACAATCGCAGATGCCCAACCTTTCTTCTCTAGCTCCAGGTCTCAATACCTTGATTCTCTTTCTATTTTAATCAAAATCAAAGTTTTCCAAGCGTGATGCGGATCGATACTCCGCAATTGCATTATTCCCCGGCCGAAAACAAAATTCAACATTATCGACTAGCCCTAAAATGGGACTCGGTTTTCAACGTGCACATAATCATCATTCTTCTATACAATCTTTCGTGTAAATTTCTCTAGTTCCGTTGATCTAATCACATCGAGAAGTTCTTCCTTTTTTTTGTGACCGAGGGTGTTCACCTTTGGATTGAATTGAAACTAAAATAAAAAAAAGATTTAAATAATAATGACGATAATATAAGGGTTATAAAAATACATGAGGATTATATAGTCATATTTTAAAAAATTTAAAGACCTTGCAACTCGAACATGTTAATCAAAAGGTAATAAGTTAAAAATTTTAACTTATCTAATTAAGTAAATTTTGACTGAACTTAAATTTTTAATATGAGACTATTTAGATTGTCAAACGATTTTTTATATTAAGTATCATAATTTAATTTTTTAAGCTACTTAATTAGGTTATCAAACACCCCTTAAGTCCTAATTATTTTCGTAATTGATTAAAATGGATTCAATAGAGTTTTGGGATTTAGATTTTATTTTCAATGTTTTTTTTTTATCGCAAGAGGTTCAAAAATCAGATTGATTTTTTGATCAAAAGTACCATGTGAAATCTTCAGCTTTTTTCCCTCTTTTGCTTTTCGCTATCAAATAAAGATCTATCCAAGTGTATAACAAAATTGTTCTTATTTTGTAAGTTGGAAAATTTTATTTGAAAGAATTAATGTTAAAATAAAGTAAGAATTTTTTTGTTATTTATGGTTTTAATATATGATTTGTTTAATGAGTTTTGGCAAATGAAATGCTCAAGTAAGAGCTGTGAAGCATTTGTTATTTATTTTAATTCTTAAGGCCTAATGCAACAACCTCTTACAAGGTCTTTAAAAAACTATTGTTATTTTTTTAATTTATAATTAATTATATAAATATTAAAGTTATTTTAGGATAGATCCCAGTCCACTTTTTCAATTCAACTAACTGTTCTTAATTTGAAAAAAATAAATAAAAAGTCTCAAATAATAAAAAAAAATTGAAATACTAGGTATAATATGACCAAATTATTAGTAGAGGGTTTAATCTAACTAAATTCGATCAATAATGATTTTTAAGCCATGAATGATGTTTCATTCAGAAAACAAATTAAGTTCAGAGATCGAAAGATTTTAATAAGTAAAGAGTTAATGTATCAATTCGAATCAACATAATCAGTTAAAATACACAAATGTTATTTGGACATCACATAGTAGATAAGAATTTCTTTGAATCAAGTTGTCGGAAAGAAAGAAGTTATTAGATAAAAAAAAAAAACTAAATTACAGAACTATTTGACCAAACGATTTAAGAAGAGTTTATTTATGCTGACTATAAATCCTCGAAAGTCCGTAAGTCCAAAACTCCGAATCCCAAACCACTCCTCTTACTAGTTTTTATCCCTCGCCCAAACCGCCTCCATCCTTACCCGACGGTTAGACAACTCTGAAACACACATCACGCATGTATACAAGCTGGGCCGCCCCGCCACATGGCAATATTTTACCCGTCCGATTCAATAATATCCCACGTGTCCCCCAGATCTCTCCAACCCCTCAGGGAAAAAAAAATACATATGGAAAAGAAAAACACACTTGACTTTCATTGACAGAAATACCCTCAGATATTCTTTACTTGTCCGAGTTCGTGCTGACCTTTAGCATCGCTCTTTTGGGTACAGTTGCAGTATATATAAAATAAAAACCCCTCGCGGATCGGGAGAGAGAAATAAAATCCATTCAAGAGTGGAGATCGCGAAGAAGAAGAAAGAAGGATGAAGATTTTTGTGAAGACTTTGAAAGGCAGTACTTTTGACGTCGAAGTTAAACCTGAAGACAAGGTTCGCATCTTTGTTTTTTTTTTTTTTTTCCTTTTAATTTGTTGTTTTACGTCTGCAATTCTAATTCAATTCTCTAGGGTTTTTTTACCGATTAATTTTAATTACGATTTTTTTTCTGCTTATGTTTTGTAATTGAATTGCTAATTCTGGGATTGAATTCAGATTTAAGATTGTGAATTTTTTTACTCCTTAGAAAAAATCTGATAGTTAATTTTAATTTAAGCTGCTGCTGGAGCTAGTGTTTTCGGTTGTGATTTTGGGAATTGTGTGGACTAATGCTTCCATTGTGTGAATTTAGGTTTCCTTTCCGTAGTTTCTGTCGGAATTATACAATCTAGGTTGCGTTAGTTGCTTGGCATTATAATTTGATTTTTTTTTTTTTGTCTTGTTTGTTCGGTTTTTTTCTTGCAATTTGGTTAATTATATATTGTTGTTTTGTCTAGGTTGCTGATGTTAAAAAGAAAATAGAAACAGCTCAAGGTTCAGCTGTTTATCCTGCTGAACAGCAAATGCTTATTCATCAGGGGAAAGTTCTTAAAGATGACACCACTTTGGATGAAAATAAAGTTGCTGAAAATAGTTTTGTTGTTATCATGTTATCGAAGGTGAGATTTGTTTCTCTTCTGTGATCTTCTGTTTTCCCAGCAGCATTCTGTTTTCCCGCAACAACAGCAAAGTAGTACTTATATTGTTTCTACTTATAGTTTTTTTTTTTTTGGCTTGGAAAATCGCCATGTATCTAGTCACTGTGTAAAACTATTTATTTTATGCATGCATTACGCATTTTTTATGCTTAAAACTATTTATTTCGTACATGCATTACGCATTTTGTATGCTTAAAACTGTTTATTTTAACACTTTCTTTTTGCTACATTCTCCAAATATCATTGATCAATGTTATATTGTGACATTTATATTTTCAGGTTTCTTACTTGGTTTTGTTCTAATTGTTTGCTTTTAAAAATGTTAGACAAAGAGCTCATCCGGTGAGAGTTCAACTGCATCAACTGCTCCGACCCCTAAGGTAATAACACAGTAGTTGTCCTTTTTGATGCCTTCACAAATTGCACTTAACCACTTGAAGAACAAGGGCTTCAATTGCACAATTGCTGCTGCAAGAAGCCCTCGGCAATTTATTCATAAAGTTCTTGTTACGTGCTCACTGGTCAGAATATTTTATTGGTCTCAATTAGTAATATTTGTTCCCCCTCTCCCTCTTTATTCGCTGTCTTGTATTAAACTGGTGCTTGTGCAGGCACCTACAACAAGTGCCTTGGCAGCAACAGCTCCTCAAGCTCCCACAGTGGCTGCTGCACCGTGAGTCTAAGGGTTCTATGCTATTGTTGTCTGCAAATTTGTTGACTTCTCTAAGATATTAATGTCTTGCATTCTGTTATCTGCTCATTTTGTATATATTTTTACTTGACAGGCCAACATCTTCTCCTTCCCCTACTCCTGCTCCGGCTCCGGCTCCAACTCCGGCTCCTGTTCCGGCTCCTTCATATAATGTGGCGTATGTATTTTATTCAATCTTTAGTGATTTGTCATGTTTGAACTGTGCCTTCAATCCTTTTGTTCTCCTTTGAGAAGTCCTTGCCCATTTTATTTGTTCAACATATGTTTTTTATTTTTTTAAGTTCGGCATTATTTGTTGAATCAGGTCAGAGTCTGATGTATATGGCCAAGCTGCATCTACTCTTGTTGCGGGAAATAACTTGGAGGGAGCAGTCCAGCAAATTCTTGATATGGGTGGAGGTACTTGGGATAGAGACACTGTTGTTCGTGCTCTTCGCGCTGCTTACAATAATCCAGAGAGAGCTGTTGAATATTTATATACTGTGAGTTTTATCTATCTATGAGATTCTTTTTTATTTTTTTTCTTACTAGGAAAGACAGTGGATTATTAGTCTGTTATTGGAGAACATCTTGAACCATTGATGGCAAAGACATTCTTCAAGATGCTGGGTGTGTATTTCTTGTGTTGCAAAAGGATTCAGGAGTGGACCTAATATTGCCCTAAAGTTTAGTTTGGTGCATGTTTTTGTGATATTTATTTCACCATAAAAATATGATTGAAGAACTTTATACGTAGATTACAAGTTAATTGCGTGTATTATTGCCAAGGAAGAAGTTTAGGTGCTATGTATTTAATGCTGCACTCTAAATCTAGTTAAGGTGGATTGTGAATGTGTTCCATTACATAATGTCTTATTAGAAGTAAGGAGCTGCTTGGACATGTGGGAATCAAACACTGTTCTTTGGAATGATTTTGAATTTTCATGAAGTGACTGGGCAGCAGTTGTTAATAGGAACATTTTTTTTTTGGTGTTAATTTCTTTCTGAAGTTGCTCATGATTTTTCTTTTCCTGTCCTTGTCTCTTCATTGATTTTGCTCACCCATCCAAGTCCCTGGAGGGTCTCTTAAGTAGTTGTTTCATTTCTGTGTTACTTCTAAATGTTCTGCATTTTGTGGGGTACTCCCTTATCTCTGTCATTTCAATCTTCTTGTTTCCAACTTTGGTAATTGCAAATATCAGGGTATCCCAGAACAAGCAGAAGCTCCTCCCGTGGCTCCAGTCCCTGTAAGCGGGCAAGCTCCTGCAGCCCAGCCTCAGCAGCCGTCAACACAACCAGCTGCAGTTCCTTCTGGTGGACCAAATGCAAATCCTTTAGATCTCTTCCCGCAGGTAGTTGTTATGTATACAATTATTGGTCAATTATGTGAGATTTTCTGGATGGTCGACTCTAAAAGTGATATTCTTTTCCTCTCAAAAGGGCCTTCCCAACGTGGGTTCAGGGGCTGCTGGAGCAGGAACTCTTGATTTTTTGAGGAACAGCCAACAGGTTTCTCTCTCTCTCCGTGTTTGTTATTTGATGCCTTTTGATGGATGCATAGCCAATGTTACTGAATCTTTGTTCTGTGATTGTTGCCAGTTCCAAGCCTTGCGAGCTATGGTGCAGGCTAACCCACAGATACTGCAGGTTCTTTTTTTTTCCCCCTACCTCCCGTTATTTAATGTTCCCTCCTCTTGAGAGGCTGTATAAATTCTTTCCATTTGACAGCCTATGCTTCAAGAACTGGGAAAACAAAATCCTCACTTAATGAGGCTTATTCAAGAGCACCAGGATGATTTTCTCCGCCTGATCAATGAACCTGTTGAAGGTGGAGAGGGGTAAGATAAATTATTTGGGGTTTTTTCCTACTAATTATGCTAGTTTGTTGTGCTCATTTGCTTTTCATGTGCCTATAGGAATGTATTGGGGCAGCTTGCTTCAGCTATGCCACAAGCAGTAACAGTCACGCCCGAGGAGCGCGAAGCAATAGAACGTGTAAGTTCTACCTCATTTTTACAATAACTTGAATCTTTTAGACCATGATTTGAAAGATTTTGATAACGGTACCTTTTAGCTGTAGTTGGATTTTCATTAATTATGTCTAGTTTTTAAAGCCTGCCTGGATGATTATTAATAGCTTGTTTTGCCATCCTTCCACTCATTTCAGCTTGAAGCTATGGGTTTTGATCGTGCACTTGTATTGGAGGTATTCTTTGCCTGCAACAAGAATGAGGAGCTGGCTGCCAACTACCTCTTAGATCACATGCATGAGTTTGAGGATTGATTTGGTGGAAATGTAGTCAATCCTTCCATCTTCTGGAAAAATTGTTTCTTTTTATTTCCTTTTTTTCCCCCTTTTTCTAAATTACCCCAACTTCATTTCAATATCAAGTTTGGAGTTTGGAGTTCTATGATGTGAAGTTTCTGGACAAGGAACAAGATGTAACATTCCTACCATCTCTCTCCTTGGTTAGGGTTCTTATATTTATATACATGGTTGTCTTGGTAAATTTGATTTTTCTATGTAAATTTTCGGATCTTTGTCTGGACTCAGACACAATCTATCAAATTCACTGAGAATTTACGAAGCTATGGTTCTAAGCAGTCTTTTGAGACTGCTGCTTAACACCTATTTTGTTGCATTTTCAAAATTTTTGCTATGCTTAATAATTGTTGGTGTTTCAATGATGGGGAATAGTCATGGCTACTGTCGTTGGTTGAAAACATTTCCTGTGCCCAAGGATGAAAAAGGCGCGGTTCATAACTCTGGCCGTTGAGTGTAACAGCCAATCTAATGGTTTTTGTGTCCTTGCAACGGTGATGGCATTGATAAACTCTGTAGCTTCTTTACAACTTTTGTACGTTGATCTTCAACTGAGTGTCAGAAACAGGCTTCATAAAGGCACCTACTATTTTTTGTAGGATTCATGCAAATTTCCAAGAACAAATTTTGGTAGACGAATGTAAACATGGCTGGGAATGCATGTTTTCATTGTGCACAAGTAGTACTCACAGAATGAGGATGTGGAAAGATCCAATCGGAAAATCAGTCGTGATTCAGGTCAAATCTCAATGTACTATTTCTCGGACTAGCAATGGAATTGCTGCTGCAACCTTTCAAACTAAAATGGTATAAATGATATTTTTAATATTGCTAGGGGTAATCGGTTTGTATATTTGGTCTACGTAGCAGAAGCGAAGATAAGCCCACCATGTTCCAACTTCCATGTCCCTGAAATCTCTCTCTGAAAGTACTCAATTCAAATATTTAGTAGGTGCACATTACCGTCTGGACGGCATGTAAGGTTTCATCTTAGTACGTATCATCAATTTACTATATATCTGGGAATAGGACTACTCAGGAAGATGAGTCAAGGTGAAGGTCCCAATACTGCAGTACAGTTGGTAGAACAAAAAAATAAAAAGCTTCCACTATCAGGTTTTTGGCTTCTGCTACAATAATGGTAAACCTTCAGGGGATATGCGAGGGCTCACTTCTATTGCTATAGAAGATGAGATGCATGTTCACGGAACTGTTATGGACAGTCGCACAGAGTTCTGCTCGAAGGATGTAAGTCCAGTCTTTTTGGTTTCTCTCTAATGGATATATAGGAGATAAATTGGCTTTTGGATGCCAACTTCAAATCGTGCGAAAATGAAAATAAAAAGTTCTGAAAAAACATGCCTTTTTATTTTTCCATGTGAGGTTATGTAACCTCAAGTTCGCAAGACAAATCAGATGATACCTCATAGAGTAAAATCAACCCAGACCTGGGAATTCTGCAGTAAATTGAGGGGAGAGACCATTTCAGAAGGAAATGCAAATGTATTCGATGCCCTATAATATTGATCACAATACATTTATGTTTGTTAAAAGTACTAACTATTTGAACGCCATATAAGGATCGACTCTATAGCCAATTGCCCAAGCGCGTCTTCGGCAAAATAACTATGGACGATATTATTTTATCGACTCCAAAATCTTTGAAATATTGGCTTACAATTCGATTCATGTATGCTTAAGCCTAGCGCGAATCCAAAACAACCTAGAAAGATGTACCGTGGTACAAAGAGCATGCATGGTTGCTAGAGGCTGGCGAATCATAGCCACACATGCTTGAGTGGTTAAAATCAAACATAAATAGGTCCAGCCCAGATGGCAATTCGTTAACTTCTTTTTCTCATTTTCTACTTCTGTTGTCACAGTTGGAGATTCAATTTAAGAATCGATACCACTTTTATGAACACAAAGCCAAAATCAATCAAATCTTAAGATCAATCTTTAGACCAATGATGATCTCAAGTTTCTTTATGGCATTTTCTAGTACAACTTTGTTGCTCTAATTTTCTAAGACCAATCTTTCTTTTCCATTGGATGTGCTTTCCCTAGAAAACTGATTTGCCTTTTCTTTTTAAAAGGCATGTGAAAATATTCAGTTAAATCGGTTAATGCTTGCGTTTCAGCCTCAAACACAGGCCATTCTAAAGCCTTTACAGCGTGCATGTGCATTGTATTCAGCTGCTTTATTTGTTCTGCCTCTGATCATAACATGCTCGATCCAGATCTATTGTCTGGTGTTCTTGTCCTATACCTCAGGACAGGAATTAGGCACCAAAAAGAGCTAAGGTGAAATGGACTTGCTGGCACGGTGAGAATCAGTCCCAGTGCAAGGACCACTATTTCTTTATTATTAAAAAAAAAAAGCACGATCAATTCCTTCCATTACTTGCTAGTGAAAAATTTGACATCAATGAGGATAGAGATCTCAACAGAAATACGATGATGGTGTGGTTTTTTTATTGCTGAGGGGACGATAGAGATCAATAGTTGGTGATGATCCAATTTGCTCAAAATATTTGCAAAACAAATCTTTTTTATTGGTTGAAGGGCCCTCTGATGACTGAATCAATATACAAAAAGAAAAGATGTCTAAACAGGTTGTAATGTGTTATCTAGGTGTATAGGAGACGATAAGTAGTAATATTAAGGGTTAAGAGAGTAGAGTTAGAACTTGGAGCATTTGATCCCAAGAGCCTTTATATAGACGAAAGCCTAATCAACTTACATAGAGAGAATGATAAAAGAGTTTATTCTTTTACTGCTAGTAGTCTCTATATCAATTTCGGAGATAAATATCTTTGACGGTGATAGACTACTATTTGATGGCCATCATGATGTCATAGTTGCTATCGATTAGACAAAAAACAAAAAAATCTAGAGAATATACCTTCGTTAAATGCATGTAATTTTTTTAATCTCATAAATGGATAAATTAGCAACTCGGTTGTTCGAGTTGATTGCCTAAGCTAAAATTTGTGAGGACATTTGGATAGGGCAATGTTGTAGGTCGACTATCTATTATTTTTGCCGGGAATTAGACACTACTTGAGTTTTTTGAGAGGTATATGATGACATGTGTCATTCGGACATATTAGTAGCCCTTTAAGTCTTGACAAGTATGTTTGGCATAAAATGTTGTGGAGGTTAGGCTCCTGGAGAGATATTCATAGCACTCGGGGTGATGAGAATCCCATTTTACTTGTCTTATTCTTGATTTGTTTTGGTTGGTGTAGATGAAGATCATTTATTGCTTGTCGTTTCGATAACCTTATTGTTTTATGGGGAAGATTAAATGGTCTTCCAACGGTGTTTGGAGAATACAAAAAGTTTGAGTCTTTCCGCAATTTTTAGTATCTATTAAGTTGTGTACATCTCATCGGACACATGAAACTCATTTTTACGTGTAATTAGACTATGCACTTATGAGTATAGTTTTCCTCCGATTGGATTTACAGGAGAGGTGTTTCAACATTATGGCTTGTGTGTAAGTCGACTTTATCCAAATAGATGAATTGTCATTAGATGCCTTTGAGAATTTTTATAGGCAATTTAATGTCTTCATTTTTTTTAAAAGCTTTCTAGACATTCCTACTATTTGGTCGAGGGCCCTAGAGAGAAAAGAAGAGCGGTAAGGCTCTATACTTTCTTGGCTAGAGGATCGAGCTTACTAAAAGAAGTGTTGGTTAGCAAACTTAATCTCGTAAGAGACTAGAGAGGTACAAGAGGAATGTCCCTTTTGGCAATGCTTTTGACTTATGCATGTGTCATAACATCCCATGATGACTTCAATATGAGCCTTTACAATCTCTTGCTGATTGGGACTTTTAGGAGCGAGATGAGGTATAGGGGCAGTAGATATCGAGTTAGTCTCCTAGGAAAAAGGTTTGCTTTAATTCGAAGCTTAAAAGATAGATAGGTAAAACCAAATCTTCTTTTTGAGTTTCTATTTTTAAAGATAAGGTGGCCTTTTATTATTTGGCAATTGGTGGAGTATTTAAGGAGCGAAGGATTTGAAAAGGTTTGAAATTGAGTCCAAAATTCCTAGTAGAGTGAGAGTAATTTTGATCGGTAACACACATATCGAGCCTCATCAAGACCGGTTTGCAAGCCGTGAAGACATACTTTTATTGTATCAAGGTGGTCTCCTTAACTTTCTCCTTCTTCGTATCATTTGTCTACTCTAAAAGGGAGTTATAATGATAAGATAAGGATCGGTTTGAGTAGAATTGGAGCCCACTTACTCGAGAGGTGGAAGACATAGTCTTCCACTTTTAGTATGAGGAATACTCCTACATGTTTAGTAAACTCATAGTTTATCTAGTCGATGGAGGCGTAACTTAGCCTTTTGTCCGTAGCTCGGCTAGGGATGGCAATGGGGTAGGGTGGGGCAAGGCGGGGATCACCATCCCCTCCTTATGCCTCGTTTGGGGTGAAATTTTGCTCCCTATCCCCGCCCTAAACGAGGCGAGGCCTCGCTAAATTACCTTTTTAACGGTAAAAGGCGAGGCGGGGTGGGCATCGCCATCCCCATCCCCGCCCCGCCCAAAAAACCCATCCCCGCCCCAAACGAGGCGGGGCGGCTTTAGGGCGGGTTGGATTGCCATCCTTAAGCTTAGCCCATTGCTAGGAAGGTTATAATCCCGAAGTTATATTAGATGTTGAGGTTCTCGCCTTAGCTAAAGAATTTTTTTTTTTTTTTGCCATTGGTTCCTAAAGAAAGAGGTTGGCAAAGTTCTTGCAATTAGATCAAAATTTGGTTTTGCTCATGTTTAATCAGTCTTTTTATTATAGGAGCAGCTTTGCTTGAAGAAAGAGCTATTTAGAGGTATTATGATCCTATAGGAGAAAAAATGAGAGAAATTCACTCGTATGTTTGATGATCTTTCTTTGTTCATCAAGGATATAGAGCTTTAGGTGAACAATTTCATGTTTAGGTGGATAAAGATGGCCATATAGTTGATGCTAGTAGTGAGAGTGTTGCATTTTTCTTTTGATTTTGATTGTAACCATAAGTTATTAACAATATTTTATTTATAGCCCAACAACCTTCATAAATAGAGGTTAAAAAGAGAGATGTTCAAGGCTATTGGATTATTTCAAGCAATATCGGATAACCATCATTACTAAATATGAAGAGATAACCTCCCTTCATGATGAGATGGAGGGAGAGCTAAAAGAAATATAGGATCTTTAGTCAAAACCTTAACTAATAAGTGGAACTATGGTAGCTATGGAGCATGGAGTAGTTAAGATGCTAAAGAAGATTAAGGTGGGTGGATAAGGTATAAAAGAGCCTAACGGTTATAATCTAAGAGAAGGATGTTATACATGAAAAGGTTGCTCATTTAAAGTCTATTGGAGATCATCCAGATAATTTTTATGAGATGTTCAAAGGAAACCTAGGATTGGACAATGCCTTTGAAGACTGGTGATGGAGATAGATAAGGTATAAGAGAGCTCGACAACTATAATTCAAGAAAATAATGCTACTCGAAGAAAAGGATGTTCGTCTAAAGTCTATTAGAGGTCATCCCAATGATTTTTACTAGATGTTCCAAGGGATGTTAGGATTGGTCGGTGTCTTTTAAAGATTAAGTGATAGAGATCTTAGGAGATATCCATTTTTTTTATAAGGCTAAAAATATAAACATAGATCTCTCTTAAGTGTTTAATGGTGAGTCCGTTTTTAACTTTAAAAAGTTGTATGAGGTAGTTATTGCTAAGGAGAGAAAGTTCTTTCTTGGTGCCCAAGCACCTTTTGAAAAGACTTGGTTAGCTATTTCCTTCTTAGGAAAGGATCTTTAGAGTCGAAATAATGTTTGTCATTTTTCTTCTTTTTCATCTTTCTAAAGAGTAGCTCATAGAGCTAGAAGCACTATTTACCCTCTCATTTTTTCTTCTTCTTCTCAAGATGAAGCTCTAGTTTTCCTTATAGAGATTGTTGTGCATTCAAACATTATAAAGTTTTTGGAGTAAGCTACATATTTAATGAAAATAAACTAGGATCTATGCTTAATTTTGTAATCATTTGTGATAAAACTATAAGTTAGTTGTATTTTTCTTTGTTAATAAAATTTATTATTATTGTTGTTATTATTACTATGGTTAGCCTCTTTATTTTTACTTAGTAAGCATCCGAAGCCTATTAGGATGATATGAGAGTTATTCTATCAAACTCGCTTTTAATGCTCCTTGTCTACTATGGTAAAATTAAGTGTTTCTTTGAGTCCGGACCTAGATTGTTATTTTTTGATCAAGTATTTTGAAATCATTTCATGTGTGGTGAAGCGATTTCTTAGAGTTTTCTCTTGTCATATGGGATCCTTTCTTAGGTCGATTAACCAGACCTATATTTTATAACTTTGTCTTGGTCATTTTCCTTTGCAAAGTTATGTTTGGGCTTGTGTGGTGCCTTTATACTTGGACAAAGAGACTACAATTCCTATAAAAACGATTTGAAGAAGTTAGGTATGAAAAAGGTAGTTACATACCTAGAATGAGATAGCTATAGATTTCTTAAGAGGCGTGTGCTATTTTTAATACTCGATTAAGGTGAAAACACAACTTTTAGACCCTTCGGAGAATCGTGGTTGTGATTTTTAGAGAAATGACCTTCAACTCTTAGGAGAATATGGTCATGCATTTATACAAGAATCGTATTCTTGGGTTGCTAGTTCTTAAAAGAACATGGTCGTGGGCTTGAGTAAGGAGGTGAGGAAAATATTCGAACGGAGCAAATATCTTAATTGACAATGCATATATATTTTTTTGTTTATAAAA